AACTAAAGCCCTCCAAAACATCTTAAGCAAACCAAAAGACCCGGTAGCCCAAGAAGAAAAAGCAGGAGTCATCTGCAATGTACAGTATAAGGACTGTAGCAACCACTGCGTAGGACAGACAGGCAGAAGGCTTGCAGAGCGCATCCACGAACACCAACTAGCAGTCAGAAGACATGATGAAACCTCCTTAATTTCACAACACATGGACAGAACTAACCATAGTTTCAACTAGGAAACTGTCAGCATCTTAGACCGAGCTAAATCCAAAAATGCGAGGGAATTCCTGGAAGCTTGGCACTCAGACAAGGCAGCCATCAACAGGCACCTGGAGATAAATCACATTTACACACTATTCAAAAGAGACAATAGAAAGGAAAACAAAAGACCAGAACTTCTCCTCATCAGCAATCATCACCCAGATAGGCGGAGATTAACACCAAGATTATCACCAGACATACAATCAAGCAGTAACCAATACCGTAATCAAGGAACTACCGGAGGAAAAAGTAAAACAAAACAAAACCCCCACTCCCACCAACACTGGCAGGGCATGCCACAATATATAAACAGAGGGCAAACCCCATCCCATTCTAGCACTGAAGATGTTACCTAGCCAGGTAACGAAACTTTTGCAAACGAAAAAAAACAAGCTCAGAGAACCCCAAGGACTCCACAGTTCAATCCTGAGTTACATATATTCGCTTCAGTCCTTTATGTCTGGAACTGTATTATTTTCCCATCTCCTAAGGATTATTCTTTTTGCTACTGTAACAGCGGGAAAACCCCATCTTTGTTCCGAACTTGTTAAATTCCAAGTGGTCGATATGTAATTCACTACAATACACGACCATACAGTTGTAACAAAGGTGGTCACCAAAATGGGACACCAGGTCTGCCCTCCTTACCCCTTGACAACGCTGGAAGTGATATTTCAGGCCATAGATGCTCGGAAATTCCAGCCAGCAGCCAGAGTTAGGACATTTCACCCTGGAGTGAGCCTTAAATTCATCTTTCCACTGATTCATCAGAGGCAGCTGAGAGGAGAAGGTCCATATAAAGAGAAAAAAAGAGAGAAAATAGGGGGGAAAAACCAAGAATGGATGAGAACAAAGGTCCAAAGAGAGTGTAGCTACATCTCTCAGCTTTGTCTCCAGCCAACCCACTGGCCTGCATACCTGCCTATTCCTCTCCCACCAGGCCTTGACATGTAAAGATTCCCTCTCCCAGGAATGCAAAGAGGCAACCCAAGAACAGGGACTCATGCAGAGATAGTTACAAGAATCCTTGGGGTTCTCTGAGCTTGGTTGTCTTCTTGCAGACATTTCATTACCCAACTAAGTAACATCATCAGCGCTGTTGACATTATCTAGTTGGGTCGTGAAACGTCTGCAAGAAAACAACCAAGCTCAGAGAGCACCAAGGACTCTACAGTTCAACTCTGAGCTACATAAATTCTCTTCTATTGATAATTACAAGAACTAAAATCTTGGGAGAAGCAGAACGACCAAAACTTCACCCTAGAGAATTTATAGGAGAGCAAGAATGAAACAGCTGAAGAGAAATCAACTTTGAAACAGCAACTACAGATAGAAAGCTGTGTTTGAATTAGCCACCTGATGGATGACAGAATGCTGATGGAATGAGGTGGCAAAGGATAGAGGAAAAGCTCTTGGAGGACCCCCTACCTCTGCCCACAATGACCCTCTACGAAGCGCTCCTGTCTTCCCCAATCCCTGCGCACCACCTGGCTAGTGGACAGTGGAACAATATACGTGTATGCGTCTGCATGCAATGCTTAAGCAGTTGTCATTAATAAAGCTTTGATAGGTTAACAGAGGCTCTCTGTGGGCTGCGTATTCCTTTGAGCATTTCATTATTGCATAAGATCCTGAAGTTCAATGTTGTAACAAGATGCAACATAACGCTCCCTCTGGAAGGTCTCTTCATCAGGAATGATCCAAGGCAGAGGAAGGAGAAATTCTGCTTTCCCAACCAGGAAGCAAATAAA